TGCCGTGAGTTGCTGGCGACGGCATAGGCTGCAGCCCCTGCTGCAGTGGGTTGCCATGGGCTACCGTGTGTAGCCAGCAGCCAGCGTGAGCGGCCAGCAGCCGCAGTGAGCGGCCGTCCAGAAGCCGGCGACTGATCTGCCTCGCCTGGGAAGAGCGCAATGATGGTGCCAACTTGGGCCAGTGAAGCAGCGTCCTCCACAACTAGATTGAAGAACAAAACGACAGCAACTTGTCTGTTCCCCTTCCCCCAATTCCCCAGCACTTTTCCCATCCCCCCAATTACCCAATAAAAATCTTAAAAAAAAATAAGTTAAACATACAGCTGCCATACAACTCATACATTTCACTTCTAGGTATCTACCCCAGAGAAATAAAAATATACATCCACACAAAGGTTTGTGTATAGATAGTCATAGCAGCTTTTTTCAAAATAGTCCCAAATTGGAAATTTCCTAAATGTTCATCAATGGGTTTACAATAAAATGAAATGTGGTATATAATGAATTGCTACTCAACAATAGAAATAGATAACTACTCATAACATGCAACAACATGGTTGTATTTAAAAAATATGCTGAGTGAAAGAATGCATCAACAAAATAATACACAACTGTACTATTCCATTTATAAGAAATGCAAACTAAATTATAGTAACAAAAGCATATCAGTGGTTGCCTGGGGCTGGGTCAGAATAAGGCATAGGGGTACTAGGTATTTTGGGTGATGTATCTTGATTATGGGAACAGTTTCGAGGTTTCAGTGCTTTCAACCTGGCAAAGTTTATCAAAATGTGTACCTTAAATATGTATACTTGATTGTGAATAAATTATTTCTCACTGCAATTGACATAAAATAATAAGAACAAATTATAAGCCAAGCTAGAGGAAGTCACATGAAACTAACTCCTATGGTACATTACAGTGGGAGAGAGAGGGCCCATTTATATGAGAGTATGTGCTCACACTTACACATGACATTTCTAAGACCAGTTTACCCCATATTCTAATTTGCTTTCAGACTATTGAGGCTTCTGGGATGTTACCCAAAAATATTCTGAAACCACATAACAGGAGGACAATTTTTCCCTTCCCTCAGTTTTTACATTTGTGTCCTTGTATAACTTCTGATTAGTAGTAAATCTCTTAGCTACAGTTGAAACATGAGGCATTGTTTTGAGGTCAGAAAGAAACTGAACTGGACCCCAGACCAGGAACAGCCAAGTGCTTGGAGGGTGTTTGTGAATAACTGAGGAGAGTGAAGAAGCAAGTTGAATCCCTGAAGGATGAAGGGAATGAACCCCTCCAGGGCCAGCCTGGCACATAGACGTGCTTCTCACCAGCAGGGCCCGTGAAGTGGGATATAAATAAGTGCATCCCAAATTAACCCACCACCTACTTTCCAAACCTCTTCTTCTTTATGTTCTCTCAACACACTCATCCTATCCCCATCTTCCCAGTGTCTCAGGCTCCAAAGAGTGTCATCTTTGCCTTTTCTCTCTCCTTCACTCACCACAGTCAGACATAACATCTTCATAATTTTACATCTAATTTACTTACGCTTAATGATCTCCTCCTAAATACCAGGCAGTTTGCTAGACAATGAGGTTAGAGAAACAAGCCAGAATGGGTTTTGGGGGGTCCCTTGAACCCACAATCCTGAAGCAAGAGAGAGAGCTAGGACTACAGGAAAGATTACACCCAACAGCATTAGCTGAGCCTCCTCTTTGGTGAATTCACTTTCTAATTCTAGAGAATGTCGATGCCATGTTGTCAGGCTTTTTTACCTTTAATTATTTTTACCTTCAAATTAAGACTTGGGCCGGCCGAGTGGCGCGTTGGTTAAGAGCTGGTTTGGGACGCAGGTTCGGAGCAGCAGGGCCCCACTTCAGATCCCACATGGGGGCCAGTGTCACTGTCCTCTACAACTAAAACGGTGAACAACAACTTGACCTGGAGCTGGGCTGCCGCGAGTCGCCGACGACGGTGTAGGCTGCAGTGAAGCTACAGAGGGCTGCCATAAGCTACCGTGTGGCCGGCAGCCAGCGTGAGCAGCCGGCAGCCGATGTGAGCTGACAAGAGCCGCCAAGAGTGGTCGTCCAGAGGCCGGCGACCCATCTGCCTCACCCAGGAAGAGTGCAATGACCATGCCAACATGGGCCAGTGAAGCAACGT